TAATAAGAAGCTAAATAATTGAGAAAAACTTAAAAAGGCAAAGTTTGTTTGAAAAGAACATTAAGCTGGGCATGGTGGCACATGCATGTAATCCCAGTGGCTCAGGAGGCTGAGGCAGGAGAATCGCAAGTTCAAAGCCAGCCCCAGCAATTTAGTGAGGCCCTAAGCAATTTAGCGAGATCCTGTCTCTAAATAAAATATTATAAAAGGGCTGGGGATGTGGCTTAGTGGTTAAGCGCCCCTGGGTTCAGTCCTTGGTCCCCCCACCAAAAAAGAAAGAAAGAAAGAAAGAAAAGATCATCAAGATTTTTTACCCATAGCTACACTGTCCAAGGCAGTTGGGCTGCAATAGAAGAATAGCATAGAATGGGTGGTTTATAAACAACAGACTTTTATTTCTGATGGTTCTGAAGATTGAAAGTCTGAGGGCAGGGTGCCACTGTGGTTGGGTTTTGGTGAGGACCCTCTTCTGGGTTACAGATGCTGGTTTCTGGAAGAGTTATCTTAGAGTGGGAAAAAAAAACTAACTAGCTTTCTGGCCTCTTATGATAAGTGTACTGATCCCTTTCACAAAGTGCTCTTCCCTCAAAACCTAATCACCTCCCTAAGACTCTACCTCCAAATCCATCAAAGTGGGATTAGGGTTTTAACAGGTGCATTTGGTGGGGAGTAGAGCACAAACATTTACTCCATCACACACACTGATTAAGCAAAAGGGAAGAGGGTTCAAACTTAAAAGATCAGGAATAAAGGGGAACTATGTCAACAGATCTTACAAACATCAAAAATAAATAAATAAATACAATGCAAATTTTAATGCCAGTAAATTTGCAACTTAGATGAAAAGGAAAATTTCTTTAGAAATTTACAACTTATCAAATTTGACACAAAATAAATAGAAAATTTGAATAGCAATATACTTAGTATATTAACAATTTGTTATCAATAACCTTCCCAAGCCCTGATAGTATCATTGAGTTCTATCAGACATTTAGGGAAAAATAACACTAATATTATTCAAACTGCTACAGAAAATACAGAAGGAAGATAACTTCTGACTTGCTTTATGAATGCAGGATTATCCTCATACCAAAACTTGATGAAGAAATTATAAATCAACATTATTTATAAAAATAGATACAAAATTTGGCAAAATACTACCACATTAATTCCCCAAAGACACTATATTATGACCAAATTGGGTTTATACAAAAATGCAAGGTTATATTAATATTAGAAAATTGTTCAGTGTTATTTATCATATTAGACTAAACAAGAGAAACCATTTATAATAAAAGCAGAACTTCCTTAATCTGATAACGGGCCATATGAAAAGCCTGCAGGTGACCTCATAATTCATGGTGGAAGACCAATTGGGAACAAAGCAAGGTTCATCAGCTCACCATATTTATTCAACACTTTACTGGTCATCTTAGCCAGTGCAATAAGAAACAAAAGCATACATTTCTGAAAGAAAGAAGTAAAAACTCTATTCACAGATGACATCATTTTTACATAGAAAATATAAATCTATAAAACAACTACTGGAACTAATAAGGGAATTTAGCAGTTTGTAGGATACAAGAGTAATATAAAATTCATTTACTGATATATGTATATATATATAATCAGCAAATGATTGGAAATTTAGATATAGAACAGTTCAAATTTAATAGCTTCCCAAACTAGGATATTTAGGAATAAATTTAACATGGATTATGTCATACTTCTACAATAATGAAGAGTCGTTTCTGAAATAAAGAAGGCCTACATAAAGAAAGAGATATACTATGTACATGGGTTAAAGGATCCAATAATGATTAGATGTGAATGCTCCCCAAACTGATTTACAGAGTCAAAAAGTCTCAATAAGAATTCCAAGTATTTTGGAGAGAGATTGAGAGATGATTCTGACATTTCTATGGAAATTCAAAGGACCTAGAATATTCTAACTGCTCTTGAAAAAGGAGTACAAAGTTGGAGAATTTACACTACATGATTTTAGACATACCAGGTCTTGCTATATGATGGAAGCAAGTAAGTAGAAGCTGGCACCACTTAAAATCCCGTTGGGTGAGGGCAGCAGCATATCAGAGGAGTAGGGATGGGTTGTCACAGTGTCTCCTGTCTAGCTGCAGTGATGTTGGAAGCACATGCTGCAGATGTGTCTTACAGGACCATGACATGTGTAACTGGATCACATCCGTGGTGATTTCAGGCACTTAATCTGTATGGGTGTGCATGATCCTCTGATGGTCCCAGGTGCTTCCTATCTATGATAAATTCACTTTCTGCTGAAATTAGCCAACGTTGTTTCTTTATTAAGTAACAGGAAAGTATGACAGACACAAATGCTAAGAAGAAGAGTATAGAAGGGTGAAGGAACAGGGTGATTCGGGCTGTGTTTGAATAAGAGGATGAGAACATTTCTCTGACAAGGCAGTGTGTGAACAGAAACCATACTATTCCATTTTAGTTTGTAAAGAAAAAAAATCTTCCACATATGTATATACGTAACTATACAACACTTAGTAGTTAATTATAGCAGTCTGATAATGGCTTCCAAAAATAGGCCTATGTTCTAAACCTTGAAACCTGTAAATGTTCCCTTTATTTGGAAAACAGAGTTTGAGTACATGTAATTAAACTGAAGATCATGAGATGAGAAGATCATCCTGGATTATTCAGGAGGCCCTAAATGCCATAAGAGAACAGCAAAAGGTTACATACTCAGAAGAGAGGAGGCAAATTGACCACGGAGACAGACATTACAATTGTATTGGCATTTCCACACACAAGAAAATATCCCAGCAGCTGCTGGAAGCTGTAAGAGGCAAGATATAGATCCACCCCCTCCCCTACCTGTGCCTGCAGAAGGAGTACTACCTGCTGACAACTAATTTGGGCTCAGTGAAACTGAGGTTGAATGTTTGGCCTACAGGACAGCGTTGTATTAATTTAAAAAGCCCTTGATAATTTGTTACAACAGTCACAGAAAACAAGATAATATAGAGATGGTCCCTGACTTACGGTAGTTTAAGATTTTCAACTAAAGATAGTACAAAAGCAGTGTTCATTCAGTGGAAATTATACCTTGAGCTTTGCATTTGGATTTTTACCCAGGGAAGTAAGATGCAATATGATATTCTGTTAAGATGTTGGGCAGCAACATGGAGCCACAGCTCACAACACAGCATGCTGTATTGCTAAACTATCATGTTTGGGAGGTTAAGTGTATTAAATGCATTATATTTGACCTATGATAATTTCAACTTGTGATTGATTTATTGGGATGTAACGCCATCACAAGTCCAGCATCGTCCAAATTTAGTTTTAACACCTATCATCTAGAGGGAGAATGGGAAGTAGAAATTAGAAGTGAAGAAAAGGATGGGGGGGAAAGTGTGTGTGTGTGTATGTGTGTGTACTCACACACACACACATAACATCTGCATAAACATATATATCATAGTATGCTTTATGTAATTAAAAATAGGTGGACAAAAACAAGAATACATATTTTATGAAAACATATACAAACAAATAGATTCACATTAAATGTAAAAATGGTTGCTAATGGGAAAATAAGAATAAGAGAGAAAGAGAGGTCATGAGAATAAAAAGTTCAGTTAAAGAATTGCCAAAATAAAGTTGGGAAAACTTCCTATTAAATGGAGAAAAAGATAAAGAGGAGAAAATAAAGAGCAATAACTTAGAAGACCAGTTTGGGTGATCCCATATCTGCAAAAAAGAAAGGGAGCAAATAAAAACATGTAAATTGTCAAAGAAATAATTGAAGAAAATTCCCCTCTTTGCTTTGATGTTAGATTACAGAGAAAAGGTAGAGTCAAATGCGACTGGAGTAGCTGGTAGGGTTAGATCATAAAGACTTGCTAAGGCCATTTTGAGGAAACTTTGCTAAGGCTGACTTGCATTCACAGTGTTGTTAAAGGAGGTTCTTGCTCACCCAGGAACTGCACATAACCCTCAAGATCAGAGGTAGCATGCCCTCCACTAGAAGCCAACCAAGACATAATTTGTCAAAAGTACACAATCTTTTCAACATATTTCTGCTGCAAAATCCACTGCATCATAGTAAAGTATAAATTAGTGCTTCAAGTTAGGAGAAGGTGTGCTACTTGAGGGCAGAGGTTGGATGGGGACTTTAAAGGCTGACTGCAACTTTAAATTCACAGTTCCTGGTACACAGTCTTGGTTCACTTGGCCCAAATCAAGACTTTCCCATTCTCCAAACAGCCCTTCCCAAATAGTACATAAGGTGAATGAAATGAAACCTTTTGTGTGTGTGTGTGTGTGTGTGTGTTGTGTGTGTGCCTGTAAATTGTGAATGGGAGAGTAAGGTAGCAGCCACATACTTACACTATTTTTTCGTTTTTTTTTTTTTTTTTTTTTGTACGGAGATTGAATCCAAAGGTGCTTTATCACTGAGCTACCTCTGCAGTTCTTCTTGGAGAAGCTGACCATGCTGACCTAAGTCACAAATGGCTTGAGAATCCCCTGAATTGAAACCATATGCCTAGCCACTCTGCCATGCTTCCTCGTTCATTATCATTCTTGCAAATATATTTTTCTGCAAGGGCTTCAAATTGTTTAATTCATTTCCGGCTTACTAATATCTGGTTTCAGTGATTACAAACACTTTCTCATTTGCACACGATGAAAAATAAATAACCGAACTCTTTAAAAAGATTCAGTGTGAATCTAATTTTCTAATTCACTTTGTGTCTTTAACGTAGAGGTTCAACTATATAAAATATAGACTCTTCTTCCCTTCCCCCTCTCCGCCCCACCTCCTGCCGAATGAAAAGGGACAGCATAAATTATAGCCCCTAAAGCAGATTAAGATAATAATGGGAAAGGACCCGCCCCCTCCTCTGCTCAGCCCCGCCCCGCCCCGCCCCGCCCCGCCCCCGGGCGCTTACTCTCCTCGAAGGTTTTTGCAGAGCTTCACGCAGATCGCTGCCAACTGCGGATCGGTGATGCCAGGGCCAGGCTGAGCGGTGGCGACCGGCCGGTCAGATCGTGGGAGGTTGAGTCTGACGGCACCGCCTTGGACCTAGAGGAAACGCCGCACATGGACGCGTCTGGTCCCTTGATTCCTGGGGGACCAGGAGGTGACCGAGAGAGCAGGGACGGGCGCTCGGCGCGGTGGCTTCGGGCCTGTCTCTTTAGTCAGGATCGAACTGACTTTAGCATGGTTTGTTTTAGAGAGATTGGAAAGGCTGGGTCCTGACGTGGGGTTCAGGCCAGCGTTTCTTTCTCTGGGAGGGGTAGTTAGAGGCCTGGCTCTAGTTTCTATCTAGTGATTTTTCCCCCATAGCTCTGCTTTTAAGTTCTGTGTGTTTAAGAATGAATTCAAATAAGTATACCATTAGACAAATGTAAAAAACGTTATCTTTTAAGTATTCACTGTTGTTCCCCTTTCTTTTTAACTTTCTCTCATTTCCCTTCTTCATTTACTACAAAATTTTTATAAAGATTCCTAAGACTTCCCCATATTGCACAGATTTGTTTTCTTCTGGACTACAGTGGCAACCTCTGGGAACAAGTAGAGCAAATCGAATATATTTTTCCTTTCCTTTTTTCCCTCTCAGAATCATTTAAAAAGGGCTACTAAATGTGCTGCGATGTTGGAACCTGAATATTTGACTGGATGTTTAAGTTCAATGACAATTTAGCCCTGGAAACCAGTGTTAAATGAATTGATGCAATAGACCAGTAATTCGAGGAAGGAAGGAAGGAAGGAAGGAAGGAAGGAAGGAAGGAAGGAAGGAAGGAAGGAAGGAAGGAAGGAAGGAAGGAATCCACTTAACAGATTTGTGGGACTTGCCTTTTCAGAGATATATCATATTATCAATCCACCATTTGAATGTTTTCGACTTACTTGCCACTTGACTTCAATACTGCCCTAGAATTCCTAATAAACAGCTAACATTCTATGCTTAAAACATTTTTGAGTCCATATAACTTATGAAGCTAGTAACTTGAGAAAATAAGGGACATTAATTATACTTCATAGAGTGGTACCCTTTGGAGATCACCCTGCTGCTCATCTTTCTTAAAGTGATTTATTAAAGACCAGGGAAATAAACTTTATGGTGAAGGCAAAACAGATGGCTGGTAATCTATGCATTGAGATTCTAATAGATGGTAGTGTGTGAATGAATATAATGTTTTCAATATTGCAGTGATGTCTCCCAGGATTGTTCTCTATTTGGTCACATGTGTTATATTTAAAATAGCCTTAGCTCAACATGTCTCTTCAGAGTACATTGTTTTTGCACAGAAATGACACTTCTGTATTTCCATTCATAGTCCCAATTACATGACTGTAACTGCAGTGTGTTTGCATCCAAGGCGATGGCCCTTCAGGAAGTTCAAGAGAGACACCCAGACGGCTTTCAAGAGAACAGCTGTTTGTACTAATATCTGCTGCTTCCATGAACTTAGGGTCCATGATGGCCTATTCTATCCTTGGACCCTTTTTCCCCAAGGAGGTAAGATGTTTTTGTATTCTTATGAATTCTAATTTAGAAAAAAAAAAAACCTTTTGAATTATTTTATTTTATAGTATGTAAAATATAAAAAATCTTCTTATAATATAGTTAATACATAAAATTTCAACTAAAAGAATATTTCTTCTAGAATGTTTTAACACCAGGAAAAAATAAAAAAATAAAAAGGTAAACAAGTCTAGAAAGACTATTCTCTTGGAAGGTAGTTCAACTAAAATATAATTGACCCTTTGAGTGTTACTTTGTTTACCATGTAGTTTGATTAATCATATTTGATATTTGCAATTAAAAAACAAAAAGGAGGTGCTTTGAATAGTTGAGATTTAAATGTTGTGCTACAGGTCTCCATTAAGACAGGACCTTAAGACAATAATGTGTTCACTTACTGGTGTTCTGATTTATTAGTATTTTAGAATTAAAATATAGTGTTCCAGTGAATTCCTTTTTCTGACTTGAATTTCTTATAGACTCTAGTAATGTGAAGGAAAAACTCTGATTAATATTGCCTAGTTCTCTCTAATCATAGCCTTTTCTGGTGTTAGGAACTATAGAAAATGTCACAAAGAAAATAACCCCTGGAATCAAGGGGTGTAATATGGGATGAAGGGGACTGGCTTGGGCAAGTGGAAATAGTATGTCCAGGTGTTTTATTTTGTCCTCTTTGCCAAAGCCTTGGGCTTACAGTGTATTAGCAGTTTCTCAGCCCTCTATCTGCCTTGATGACGTGTAGTCCTTCATTCTATATGCTACAAAAGAGGATGAAGTGGCTTCTATGCTAAAAGAACAATGAGGCTCTGTACCCATACAACCCTCTTCCGTTTTCATTGCATGTTCCCACCCACTTACCCATTTGGTGCCTACCACAGCCACATAAGAAGGGTAGAATAGCAAGAATCCCATCATGTTGCAAATGAAGGCCATCATATTGCAAATGAAGAAACAGTTTCAGCAGTGAAGTCACTCCCCCACTTCAGTCCTATTCACTAGAGGTTTAGTAAGTTCCTACTCTTTTTTTTTTTTTTTTTATAATATCAAATGTTTATTAAGCATCATCTGCATGTCTCCCTGCTAGGCAGTTTACACACACCATTTCGTTGGCTCTTTACACTTCCACCCTATGAGGTACTGAGCACCACCATCCCCAGTTCCTACTTTTAAGTGTGATGGGTTAGAGAAAAAATAATCAAGAAAATGATCCTCTCTTATCTGTCCATTGGGAATGAAGAAATATGACAAGAAACGTTTCAGACTATTTGAATATCCTTTAAAAAGAAGATGCCCAGAATGTTATGAAACTCAAGAAAGAGGATGGTTAATTCTGCCATGGGCAGAAGAGTGGCCAGGTGAAGATGTGGTATTGAAAGGAACTTCACAAGATAAATCTAAGATGGGTCTTAAGAGATGGTGGTGTCTAAGGTGAACACAGAGGGGAGGGCATCCAAGGTATGGATAGTCATGCAAAGAACAAATGAATGGCGTGGTCCTGGAAAAGAGAAGACAGTTCAGTGTAACTTGAGCCTAGGGTGAGGTGAGATCTGATAGGAGTCCAAGAATCCCAGGGGCATGCTGCAGATAGAAGGCAAGGGCACTTGGATGCATGCCAAGGGCTCAATCACTGGGAAGTCATCAGAGGTGTTTGAGCACGGTGGTCTGGCAAGACTTGGGGTTTGTAAAAAAAAAAAAAATGATGGGAGCTTCTGAGGGTATAGAAGGAAAATCCAACCGGAACGTTTCTCTTGCTATGCACTCACAGCACAGATCACTTCTGTGGCCTCAAAACAGGCCGGGATTTCTCCTCTCCAGCCAGCGAGCAATTCCTGCAGCAGCACACACCAGCTAGGTGTCCTCTAGTGTCAGATAATGTTCTGACATTATCTTTTTGAAGATAGCATCAGATCTCATAGATTGAGAGCTCAGTTCCCAACACTGCCACTTGCCTTCAGATGCCAGTCACTAGTCCCAGGGTTTTTTTTACCTGTTCTTCTGGCTATCTGGCTGTAAATTGGGGTTCCCATAACCCCCTCCTTGGGTTCCATTACTTTGCTTGAGTGGCCACACACCTCAGGAAAACTCTTAAGTTTACTGATATATTATTAAAGATATACATGAAGAGATGCATTGGTAAGGCATGGGAGAAGGAGCATGGAACTTCCATGCCCTCTGTGGACACTACCCTCTAGGAACCTCCATGTGTTCAGCTGTCCAGATGTTCTCTAGACCCTGTCCTTTGGGACAAGTGCTTATAGATTGGGTGGAGAAATTCAAAGGACCTGTACATACAGTTTCATTTTGGCCTCCCTGTACAGCATTCCTTCTCCAGGGGATGTGACAGGACTCTCTGTAATGAGGAGGCTTTTGTAACAGACAATGTAGGTCAGAGTTATAAGCCAGGAACCATGAATGAAAACGAAAATATATGTATCATAATATCACAGAACCTGTTGAAATAAGATGGAGAAAAACTGGAGTAAGTGGATTGACCATTTAGAAGGGCATTTCCTGGCTCAGTTGAAACTACTAACTGAGCACAATTAATGTTAGTTTTCTCTAAGTGGAACAGGAGCAAAGGAAAACCCGACTGTGGGTTTGTGATTTTAAGTTTTTGTTGACTTTATTTGCTTGTAGGGGAAAAGGCCAAAGGAAATAGGACAAATACAGGTGAGAGAGAGCATTGTAATTCTAAAAATTGTAGCTATGAAGATCAGGCTCTCCCTTTTCATTCTTTATAAAAAGCTTGTGGTCACAAATGCATTGATAAAATCTCACCCTGCCTTCTGCATGTTCTGTCACCCTATTAGCCAAAGCTAATTGAGCAGAAAGAAATAGGTCACTCTTTTTAGTTCAGGTACAAGATTCCTACTTCTATTCATCATTTTTCTGGCCATCCTCATCCTTTGCAGATGATTCCATGTGAATTAGAAATTTCTTTCAAAAGCTGTTGTTGCTGCTGCTTGTGAAGCAGGATCCATGTTCCAGAAGTAGTGTTGCTATGTGGCATGTGACTCTAGGACGTCCCATGTAACCATTCTGTCTCCACTGTGATTGTGGGTACACATGATGGAAGCTACAGTGGTTCAAAAACTGTCATCTTCGCAAGCCCATGTCTTTATCTACAAATGGGGCCAGCTAAACATATATCACTCATTTGATTGTTGGGCACATGTGAAACAATATTTAGTGGTGATTCTGGCTCATGGTAAAGATCCAATAAATACTAGTTGCTGTAGCCAAAATTCTATGTTTTCTGCTCGATTCTAGAATTAAATACTTACCAGATCTATTAAGTGATGAATGTTCTATCTACTGACCAAATGTTCTTCCTACATCTTAATTGACTCCTTTGATAATATTTTCCCTTTGCTGATCATTATGTATTAGAAATGTAGACTTCAGGTTTCAGTCTACATATAGGATGACCTTTTGCTAAGATACCATTAAAAGTATTTTAAAAATGAGATAGTTCTTGTCTCCATAACAGTATCTCATGTGTTTGGTAGTACATGGAAAGGGAATGGCCAATTATGAAGTCCATAGAATATTAGATTCAAATTCAACCTAAACAGTGACTCAAGTGCTGTGGGCCCATCCTCTCCCCACCCACCACCAGTTGTCTATGGACCACATTTATGGATGTCTTCCTGGAAAGAGATGTAGGCCTTCCTAAAGTTCAGCTAAAATAGTCAGTTCACCTGTCTGGTTTCTTGTGGTATGATGCTATGAGAAATATAGGGTTTAATTAAAGGTGTATAGTCTGACATGAAAAGAACATCCTTGAAAAAGACAGGATTTGATAACAGTGATATCTTATATGGGAAGGGATGGAGGGATTTAAAAGTGTCGTTAGAAAGGTAAAGAAATGCAGTGTTGGCTGTTGTAGACAATGGATTTTGAAGGGTGTGTGAGTGGATGTTAACTTTCTATATTAAAGTCAAGTTATTTGAAGCTTTGGTGAAAGAATGAATCTAACTCTCTGACCATTAATGTTCACTGCTGGTGTGGTGTGGTGCCTAACACATGGAAGATGCTCAATAAAAGACCGCTGATTGTCTGAGAGGATGGAGGTGTGTCATTCAGGCTTTGAACATCACAGTATGCTAATCTTATCTTAAAAACATTAAAGTCATATTTTAACTTCTTGCATTGCTGGAGCCAGATAGAAGGATCCGCCACATTTCCACATTTCTAACAGTTATTAAAAAGTTCTTTGTAGGTTTATATTTGAATTCAGTTATGCATTGCAGTAGTAGCATTTCGAGTTCAAAAGTAGATTCAGGATAGGTACTGCATCATCTGTAGTCAACTTCAGAGCTCCCTGATGGAACAGGCTGTAAACATTAATGATTATAATGTATGGATGATCAACTACCCTACGTGTTTCAGGAGAATGTAGAGTGTCAGGGGGATATTTTTTTTTTTTTTTTTTTTTTCATCTGGGTTGTGGATGTCAGAAAGGAAAACTGTCTTCTCAGTCTGTCAGGTACTAGGTTAGAATAGCAGAAGCAGGGGACCAAACCAAATAGGATTTGGTGTGACCCACATTTTGGTTTATGGAATTTTCTACCTTGAATTTTTTTTTTTTAATTTTTTATTGTTGGCTGTTCAAAACATTACATAGTTCTTGATATATCATATTTCACACTTTGATTCAAGTGGGTTATGAGCTCCCATTTTTACCCCATATACAGATTACAGAATCACATCAGTTACACATCCATTGATTTACATATTGCCATACTAGTGTCTGTTGTATTCTGCTTCCTTTCCTATCCTCTACTATTCCCCCTCCCCTCCCCTCCCTTCCCCTCCCCTCTTCTCTCTCTGCCCCCTCTACTGACATTCGTTTGTCCCCCTTGTATTATTTTTCCCCTTCCCCTCACTTCCTCTTGTATGTACTTTTGTATAACTCTGAGGGTCTCCTTCCATTTCCATGCATTTTCCCTTCTCTCTCCCTTTCCCTCCCACCTCTCATCCCTGTTTAATGT